AATTTTTTTAGAGACATAGTCTTATTCTTACTCAGGCTGGTCTTGAACTCCTGGCCTCAAGTGATCCTCCTGCTTCGGCCTTCCAAAGTGCTAGGATTACAGGTGTGAGCCACCATGCCTGGCCTGCACTATGTATTTTCCATCTCCTATCCTGGGGCTTCTTTGCAAGAACCCACAAAGACTCATGTATGTACAACCTGGAAGAATGGAAGAGTTAACAACATGGGGCCACTCTTGCCCAGTGGGGGTCAAGAGCCAATAGATAATTTTTCCCTTTTTCATTCCCCTTGGCTGGTGGTTCTGAGATGCATTTCACAAAGCTCCTTAGAAGGTCCTTTGGGATGAAACACCAGCCACCTATGGTGGTAGCCAACTCAGTAACACATTTTTACACCATCTTTCCCTTATTTCCTATGCCTCTCCCGTTATTCTGCATACCTGCTCTCTTGATCGCATTCCCAAATAAACTAACGCATGCAAACTTTTGACTCAGGCTTTGCTTTTGGGAGAACCTGAATAAAGCAATTGGTTCCAGACCTTCAGGATAGGATTTTGGAACTGGATCACTCTTTAGTCAGATGGCAAAAAAGGACTCCATTGCTGATAATTCCTGGTGTAAGATAGCATCAAATAACTAAGATTCTCACCAGTGGTGGATTAGAATGAAGTAGAAGTTCAAGTGTTGGGAAATATCATAGTTATGACTCTTAAATGGCGTAGGGACAATGGTAATTATAAGGATCTACTGACTTTTGTTAATTGCTATGGAACTCTTGAAAAAAAAAGAAAATTATAGGCTCAGGTCAGCCTACTGTTGACTCAAGGCATGCTGTGAAAGCCACAGAGCCTCTATGGCAATGTTTAAGGAGACTGTCTTCTCAGCTGCAAGGCGGACTGCACTGAAAATCAGACATGGGATCCAATTGATAGGTGGCAGAATTGCAAAGGACACGCACAGTGTCAACAGGTCTCCTATATCAAAGTCAGGACTCTGACAGGAAGAGTAAGACCAAAAGACCTGGGAGGAGACATTTGGGTGCATGAAACTGAGAATCTTGCACCTCCAGATTCTTTTTAACATTCCAGGTCAGCAGAAGCAAACCTCTCTCCTTGCTAGAGGAAAGCAGCTTTCCCTTGCATGGAGATCCTGCAAAGACCTCACATGAGAAAGATGTCTCAAATATGTTATTTGTTTTTGTTTTGTTTTGTTTTGTTTTGTTTGAGACAGAGTCTCACTCTGTTGCCCTGGCTAGAGTGAGTGCCGTGGCGTCAGCTCTCTGGGAGGCCAAGGCGGGCGGATTGTTTGAGCTCAGGAGTTCGAAACCAGCCTAAGCAAGAGCGAGACCCCATCTCTACTAAAAATAGAAAGAAATTAATTGAATAACTAAAAATATATAGAAAAAACTAGCCGGGCATGGTGGCGCATGCCTGTAGTCCCAGCTACTCGGGAGGCTGAGGCAGGAGGATCGCTGGAGCCCAGGAGTTTGAGGTTGCTGTGAGCGAGGATGACGCCAAGGCACTCTAGCCCGGGCAACATAGTGAGACTCTGTCTAAAAAAAAAAAAAAAAAAATTGCATTTTAATAAGAGTGATGGGATAATGGGACTAACAGAAATTTCCAGATATAACTTACCTTTCCCTTTGCATCAAAGCACAGTTAGGTCCACTCTTATCCACAAATATGGGGACCTCTTCCATTATAAAATTATTTTAATTACCTCCTTCTCCTCCTGCATGAGCAATAGCCTAGATAACCAGAATTTCTTTCTAAATGCCAAGCTCCAGTTCCTCAAGCTTCACTGTCAGTCTTATTCTTGCTCTGTTCTCTTTAACGGTACGGACTAAAGAGATCTCCCTGAAAATCCCTTCAAGAGTTGAAGGCCAATGTGAAGTTCTCTTCTCAATCACTGCTTTCTCACTTCTTTCTCACCTCCTCTGCACCTCTGTATTCAAGCCTAACTTGCCTTCCATCTTCACATTCCACATAAAAATATGGCCTCTGTGGAAAGAAAGACTAATTTGCTAATAAACCTGTAAGAGAAAGCGGTGACCTAACGTATCTCAAATGGCTATGTCAACCTGAGTTGTCTTCTCAAACCCTGAAAACATGGCTGAACTTGAACCCTCATTAAATTCACTTCACAACTTAGAAATTTCAGGACACTGCCTCTTGCTGTTTCAAGCTCAAGACTTACCCTTCTCTAAAATATAGCTCAGATTTACCCATTGCCTATCTTCATTTCTAACCCCTTTATCCAGACCGTGGTAGTTTCACATCAGATTACTATAATTACTTTATGCAGGTCTCTCAACTTCCATTTTCCCTCCACGCCAAAAATGTTTTGCCCATGGTGTTTCTACTATCCTACGTGTGTCTCACTGCTATCCAAAAGCTGCCAATGGTTTTCCAGAGCTTCTAACATTTGCTATCTGAATAATTCTGCAGGGAAAGCTGACTTGCCTGTCCTCAGCTCCTCTACATTCTACTTCACACTCCATATGCAAGGGGAAAAAGTTCTTCCCCCTACTTCTGATGACTTTTTCTCCTAACTCTAGGTCTTTGTCCAAGATTCCCAACTGACATGGAACTATGTACATGACTCCATCTATCCATACCACCCAATCCCTCCCCTTCTTCAAGTGGCATCATATGGTCATTTTCTTCAGCAAGATTCCAAGATTGATCCAGTTGTATCTTAGTAACCTCCATGTTATCCCTTAACCTCCATCCCTCCTCAGAACACCACTAAATTTTGCAATGAATTATCTGCCTTATCTGCCTTGGTAGACAGTAAATCCCACAAAACTGTCCCTTCTGTAATATGTAACTGCAAGTGCCTTGTACGATGCTTTACACTCAATGAGCGCTTATTATGAACTTATAAACTACCCATATGTAGAATATATATACCCAAATTCCAATAAAGGCTCACTGGGAAGACAAAGGGAAAAAACACACCATAACTTGGTTCCAAAATTCATTTACTGAATTGGGGCAGGTGATTTAACAACAGATGATGAGATAAAGATGGGAGGGAAGAGTTCTTACTTTCCCTCTCAGGAGCCAGTTGTGTCACGGATGCTTGCAAATTTTCCAAAATAACCATCTGTTGTTGGGCGAGCTGAGTCTGAAGCTGGAGATTGGCATACATACATTCTAGGAGTCCTAGGCATTCCTTGGGCTTGTGGCCAACTTCTGAAGGAAGAGCAATGGAGGTACAAGGGGACAAAGGAGAGAGATTTTATAATTGTACTGAGGTTGGAAGAGCTCTAATAAAATGACCTCTCTAATCCTTCCAGGCACAACCAAATCCAGACACCTTTGCTCAGCTATCACCTTCTCAGTGATGCCTAGTTGGATATCCTACTTTAATCTGAAACCAATGATTGAAACTCATTACCCCTCTCCCTTGTTTTATTTTTCCCATAGTATTTATGACCACATGACATATTTTGTAATTACTTCTTTAATTTTTGTCTAAGTCCCCCTTCTAGAATACAAGCTCCAGGAAGGCAAGCAAGGATTTTTGTCTGATTTGTTCACTGCTTTATCCTCTGCACCTAGAAGAGTGCCTGGCCCATAAGTAGTCAACGAATATTTGATGAATGAATAAAATGGCCTGGGAGTGAGGCCTAACTTCCCTTTCAAGAGCTCAGGGGTTACCTTAGCCTCTTTCTCTTACCTGATATAGTGTCTCATTAGCAGTGACTTGAAGTTCTTCCTGTTGTCTAACTTCAACCACTGTTGCAGCATTTTTTCTGATGTTTTCAACCACATTATACACAGCCAGCTCTTAGTTAACCTTGGTAATTATATTATCTGTTGTTTGTATATTTATTCATCTTGACTTCTTTTTTTTAATTTTTTTAATTTTTATTTTTTGAGACAAAGTTTCTCTCTGTCATCCCGGCTAGAGTGCAGTGGCATCATCATAGCTCACTGCAACCTCAAACTCCTGGGCTTAAGCGATCTTCCTGCCTCAGCCTCCTGAATACTAGGACTACAGGCATTCACCATGATGCCTGGCTAATTATTTCTGTTTTTAGTAGAGATGGGGTCTTGCTCTTGCTCAGGCTGGTCTTGAACTCCTGACCTCAAGCAATCCTCCTGCCTCAGCCTCCCAGAGTGCTAGGATTATAGGCATGAGCCACCATGCCCAGCCCATCTTCACTTCTTTCTTGGACTCTAAGGTCCTCAAAAACTGTCTAGTGCCCTCCTGGGCTCCCCATAGATTGTCCAAATACCCACAACTTCCCCAGAGGAAGATGAATAATGAAAATTCAAAGAAACTGAGACTGAGCTAATAGTTACTCTTTCCTTTTAACTGACCCCCTTTCAACTAACATCACTAGCAAGCAATAAGAGTTTCATTTCACTCCTGCCTAGTCTAGCAAAGATACCAGTAAGCAAGGAAGCAACACAAACTGGTAGAACTGGGAAGAAAATGAAATCAATAGAATTGAATAATCAACAAGCTACCAATGAAAAATCTAGAAGTGTCTTGACACAGAGTTGGGACCAGATCAACAACAGAAAGCTCAGGCCACCTCCTCCATGCAACCCCTCTCTCTGTTACAGAGTCCCTTTGGGAAACACTCCCTACATCCTTACCTGAGGGCAGCTTTGTTGTCTGGATGTTCAGGAAAGTAGCTGGTGGGGAACTTGCTTGAAGATTAATATAGCTGGGGGATGGTTTTGCTCTACAAAGAGGCACAGCATTACCCTCCTCTTTGGCTGGAACTAAATAAGAGGTAACTAAATCAGAGCTCATTCCAACAGGGATAGCCTTTCTAATTAGATCCCTGTACCTGGTCTATGAAAGCAGGTGCTAAGGCTCTGCGCTGAATATCTTATATATCAGAAAGATACATAAAACAAAAAGAAATCATGGTGGGATTAAGCAGGAGTCGAATAAGCTAATAAAGCTAGTAAAATCTAATTTGTTTACATTTTACAAGTTCTTAGTGATAGGCACTACATGTTTACTATTGTACTAAACGGTAGGGCATAAACGAGATGTGTAAGACATGGTTTCTTAGGTTCTTATTATCCAGTTAGGGAGACAAATCAGACACAGGTGAAACAGTGATAAAACAACACAAGGACATAAACAATGAGTCTGACAGTCTGGAGTAAAAATAAGGCCTTTCATCTGTTAGTTATACGAAGTATGTGATTAAATGTAAAAACAAATGTTTTTGAAAAGGGAGAAGAGATCAATATGAGTGCAATAGTCAGAGAAGGCTCCGTGCAGGTAGAGGATATTTATTGAACCTTGAAAACTTGGGAAGTTTTGATAAACAAAAAAGATATTTCAAGCGGGAGGGGAAAAAGGATGGCTTAAGCAAAGGCAAGGAAGCAAGAATATGGCTGAAATGGTGCGAAGCCGTGGAAAACTGGCCAGAATTAGGAGTGGGGAGAGTGGGAAGGCAGGATGGGCCATGAAGACCTTTTACAATAGCAAATATGAGATGTTTAAGCTTTCTTTTGAATACAGTGGAAAGCCAGTGAGCCTTTTAGGATTAGAAAATATAATTAAGATGGTATTTTGATTAATCTATAGGTATTAAATACAATGGGTTGGACATAGAAGAGATTCTTAAATGGGTGAATAGATCACCTTTGGCAAAATTAGTTAAGTGAGAAGGAAAAGCTGATCTGTAGGAAGCTGATGAGTCCTGTAGTAGACATACATTATTTTTGTCTACTGAGCAGTCCTTTCTCAGAGAAACTACTGTTTCTCCAGATTTCAGGACATACTGGTGAGACTGCAATCAAGCCCCTCTCCCCAACAAGGACGGGCCTATGACCCAATACAGGCCAATCATGGTATCCTGTCCCCTTTGGCAACTGTGACTGATCCAAGGGGGTAAGCACATGAGGTAAGTTGGGCCAGAGTCATTCCTGGGATCAATATATGGATTCTGTGTCAAAGAAATGTTCTTTCTTTTGATTTGCTATGCTGGGAAAATGTAAAATTGGGCCCAATGAAAGCTACTGAATTTGGCCAGCATATCATGAGAAATGGATAAAAGCAAGAGATTAGGCACAAGAGATAGGGTAGGAGAGATAGATGTATAGACAGATATTAATACCAATAGGCACTTAATCCCCAGTTCTAGTCCCTGAGACCCTGTTTTTTGCAGCTCCTCTTCCTATACTGTGAGCTCCCTCAGCGTCTCTCCCAACCGCACAAGCCCCTGAATTACTTTTTTTACTCAAGGGAATTTGAGCTGGTGTTCTGTCATATTAACATAATCACATTTGAATACATTGAATCTCAGTTAATTGTAGGAAATCCAAATAGAAATTCCTAGAACAACAGCCAGAGAAATGGCACTGAGCTCAGGTAAAAGGTCAGCTGCCAGGCCAGCCCCAAAAAATGACAAAGAAGCTACAAAAATAAATTAGCTCTTCAAGGTAAAAAACTGAGAGAGAAAATTGGACCTTTGAAGAAGTCCTCCTCAGGAGTCTGGGAAATGAAAAGGAAGTGGCAAAGTAGACAGAACAGCAATGGATAGAAAGTCAGATGGCTGGGCTAGGAAAGAATTAAAGGGCTTAGGAGAGGGGGGAGTCAATGACTCAACTGTCATAATGAATGAATGTCTCATTCACACACAGAAGAGACAGCTAAGTGCCTAGTATGTGTCAGTCACTGAGGATACCACAGTGGGCTAAACAGATGTGATCGCTCCTCTCCTGGAACTGACAGTCTTGCAATGTGGACAGTCATTAAGTGATCAAGTACACACATTATTAAACTCTAGTAAGTGCTATGAGAACACCTGACCTAGTCCGTGGAACCAGGGAATGTGTCCTTGAGGAAGTGATATTTCAACTGGGATCTGAAGGATAAAGATAAAAAGGGGGTCTCTTCATGACAAACAAGTCTGGGGGCAGAAGTGTGACAAGTAGGTTGTATGACAGAAGATGTCTTATTCTTGCCTTTACTCAGAGTGCCACAGAAGGAATGGCCTGGTAAGGGGATGAAGTGCTTATATGTGGGTGCCAGGGTGAGGTGCTTTCTGTCTGGAAGGTCACTGAGCCTATGAAAATTGAAATCTGTCAAGTTCCCTGTCAGTTACTCTTAGTGAAAGAAATCTGGGGTTTTTTCCCCCCACTAGGTTTGAGGATTTTCCAAGCTACCATAGGTCCTCCATCTTCTCCTCCCTCCCGGTCCAGAGTCATCACTCATTTGCTGGCTCATGCAGAGTGTGGTAAGCAGACAGAAGCTGAAACTCAGGTCTCAAGATTCTTACCATTTGAAAAATGTGTTAATTTCCATGCAAATGCACTTCTAAATAACTTGAGCCCTTCCTGGACATATGAGGATGCATTTTCTACTGAGTTACTAATATAAGGTTTGAAGAATAGACACAATCTATACTAAAGGAACCATATTTCTGACTAGACAATGTGTAACAGAGGGTGAGGCTGGGAGCAGCAAAAGGAGGCAGGACAGAGAAAATAATACATTCTCTTATATATTTCTCACAATGACCCTGAGAAGTAGGTAGCTTTATCCACATTTTATCTGAGGAAACTTGACCTAGGAAATTTGTTCGAGGTTCCACAATTAGTATCTGGCAATGCTGGAATTAAATTCAGGCCCTGTAGACTCCAAAGTCATGCTCTTTACCACTGTACTATACACTCTGTGAAAACAGCTAGTTAATTTACATCCAGCTATAGTATAGTAGGTCTGTCACATAAAATAATCTACTCCATCTATAATTAAGTGGATAGGCTCTGGAGTCAGAAGGCCTCAGGCATTTCCCTGGCCCAGTGTAACTGTCCCACTCAAACTGTGTATCTGTTCACTCTAGTTAATACCACGTCTTCTGAGATCCCTGTCTTGTTCTAAGTATTAAGAAGAAATACAAAGCAAGAATAAATTCATTCAACAAACAATTATTGAGCATCTACTAATTTGACAGAGTACTAGGCACTGGGAATACAGCAACGTTCCCATTTAGTGGGTAATGCAGAACAAACACACATACTTCCAATTAACCAAGTAATAGGGAACAAATATATGCACAACTAGAATAATTATCCCAAATGCTGAGCAATTAGGAAGGTCTGGCATTTAAGGGAGAGGAAGCAGGGCCTCCGACACACACCTTTTCTGTTAGTTGGATGACTAGTGTCCTGCTCCATCTGAACACCAACAGGTGTGGTGCCTGGGGAAAAATCATAGCATCACATGATCAACAACCCACGCTATTATCTGGACTATTGACAATTTCATAAGTTCTCTCCAGCAGATCTCCAATTTGGGGAGGAAAAAGGAAGAAAGGGTATACTATATTTCATGGCCAAACATAAGTGACTATTCTTTAATTGTTTGTGCTCTCATGGACCCTTCACTAGGGTCCATGAGTTATTTTCCAAAAATAACTTGGAAAAGTTATTTTTATTATTATTGTTTCCTTTTCTTCTGGACGAAATAGTTATTTAACCACACCCAAACCTTAAGAGTGTCCTACAAAAGGGCAGTTACTCTCCGTCTTCCCTCCATGCTTAATTTCTGCATTATTCGTCCTTTTCCTAACCCGTTTGGTAATTTTAAAACTCTGGCTCCCCATCATCTCTAACGACGAAGAGTTGAGTGAGGAGAGCGGGAGAGGGATGGGTGCGGGTAAAGAAAATCTCAGAACACTACGGGGAATAATTGAGAAAATGTTTTGGATAGGATAACTTAGGGAGAATGCAAGCCATCATCCTCTGGTACTGCTCACAGCTTCAGCAGAAAGTATTTGCCTAAGAAGGTCCACACACAGCAACTAGTCCAAAGAGGATAAACCACAATTCCCAGTGTGCCCAGGAAAAAAAAAATCGTTGCCGCCCAGCCCTGCCCGATGGCACTACAACTCCCAATTCACCTTGCATCTAGCCGGCCAGGTCTTCCCTCAACTGCCGGCTGAATCCCGCCCCTCTATTCCACCCCGTAGCTAAGGCTGGAATAAAAGAATGGAAACTGTCATGCCTTTCTTGACTTTCACAGTCCCATAAGAGCCGAGGAGCAACGCAGATTTTAATGTCTTCCCCTACGGTGTTAATCGACAGCCTCAACTCCAGCACCCGCTCCTGTAGTTGACACGCATGCGCAGTGGCGCGCCAGCCAACTGCCCGAGCCTTAGCGCTTGCGCTGATGTTCGCGTCGCACGCGGTCGGGAGCGGTCACCATATTGCGCAAGCGCCTGTGCCTTCCTACGGCCATCATCGTGCTCTCTCTATCTAGCTTGTCTTCCCGGTTTTTTTTTTTTGCGTAGGGGGCGGGGCTAAGGTATCCATTGGTCTGTTTTCGTGCCGGTCAATGAGATGGGTGCGGTGATTGGCGGCAACTCGGAGAGTAGCGGGTTTAGGTGTAAGCCCTGAGGAGGTAGCGTTTCCTGGGCTTCTGTCTGGTTCTATCTCTCCAGAAGGTTCTGCCGGTTCCCCCAGCTCTGGATACCCGGCTCTGCGTCGCGCCGCCATGATGGGCCATCGTCCCGTTCTCGTCCTTAGTGAGTTCTGGGGGAGCTTGGGGAAGGGACCCCCTCGTTTTCGCCCTCCCTCCACACTTTTCAGTGCTGCCTCAGCCCTGTCCCACCCTGACCCGGCCTCTGAGCCTTTCAGTCATCGTCTTCATTTTGGAAGACTCTTCTCCCGCTTTCCTCTCTTCCCTTAACCTATTCCCCTCTCTTCACAAACGCAAACTGACTTTCCCCTCGCAAGCCTCCTTACATGTGCTCGTCTTGGGAAGCGCTTTCCCACTCCGTGTTCCGTTTCTCAGCCCCCACCCTTCCCCCGCCCCTGCACCGTTTCTAGCATTATTTTCAACGTGTAGCTGAATGCATGATGCTTTTTTAGTTAGGCCTGGCTTTATGTCCTTGGCCCATCCCTTAGTAGCGGCAATTTAAGTGCTTCCTTCTGTGTTACAGAGCTAATAGTATTTTCTTGTAGAATTGTGAGAATTAAGTGAGATAGTGGGCAAACTGCTTAAATAGAGGGTCTGACAAATAGCAGGTGGTATCCTTGGTCATTTTACTTTACATTTCTTTTAAGTAACAGTGATTCAGCAACCTCTGTTCCTGAAGTAACCATATTTCACTGATCTTAGATGTAATCCGTTCCTTCTGTGTCCCCCACCTTGTAATCTTTCCCATTAACCAGTTGAGTTTTCCCAAATTTCTCGACCGGTTATCTTTCCCTTTGGGAATATCCCTTATTTCTTTCTAATGAGCACCACCTCCATTGTCTTCCCTTGATATGTTTCTGTTCTGTATGTAACTTCTGTGCCTCATCTGCAGGATCACCTAGGATGCCTGACTAGCCATTTCCCCTCCTTTGCCTTCTTCTGTATACCGAATGCTGTTCCGAGTTTTTATTCATTCTCTCTGTATCTGGGAAATTACTTTTCAAAAAAAAAAGATTTCCTTAACCCTGGAAAAAAAAAAAATATCCCTATTCTCATGAATTGTAGGTCTTTGCAGGTTTTTACCACTGCCTGAGATAGAAGTGTGAATCCTGAGAGTTGTGGATATTAGATTTGATGGGACTGTGTTGAACGATTTACAGACTTAAATTATAGGGGAATGTAAGAGGGGAGGGAGATAAGCATTATGTTGGGTTGACTATAACCACTGGCTTGTCTCCACTGAGAGGGCCCCGGGGTAAGTGGTGCATTGATAAAGCTTCTTTGGGGTCTGCATTAATCTCTCGCATTAGTGTCTGTAACCAATTTAGGATCCCTATTAAAATATGTAGTCAGCTATTACTGATAGCGAACAGGTTACTGAGACTTTCTTATTACATCCAAGTACAGGGTGAATATGTATAATTTGTCATGCAAACTTGGACTCTTTTGAGAAAGTGTATTGTAATTCCACAGTATGCTGTGGGGGCATTATCAGTGATTATGCATGGTAAACTGTCAGAGTATGATCCTCCTATCCAAGGAGGAAAATGTGAACCCTCAAACTCTTTCCCTGTTTACATAAAGCTACAGTTGATACTTTCTTAGGATCATGTGCCCTTTATGAATCTGATGATGACTATGGATCCTCTTCCCAGAAAAAAAAAATTGCAGTCTCTCATTTTCTCACATAATCTCAAGGAGTTCACTATCCCATTGAGGCCCATTCATGGATCTTAGGTTATGAATCCCTACTGTAAACACATGAATGTTTGGTTTGAGGGAAGGTGTTGACCAAGATTCCAAAGTTGAGGCATTATGGGTTATTTGTTAATATATCAGGGGTTGAAATAAAGAAAGTAGATAGCCATAAGTACATACGTACAGGAACACCAGATACAGTGATTCATGTCTGTAATCCCAGCACTTTGAGAGGCCAAGGCAGGAGGATCACTCGAGGCCAGGAGTTCCAGACCAGCCTGGCCAACATAGCAAGACCTCATTTCTACAAAAAAATTTAAAAATTAACCAGGCATAGTGGCACGTCTGTAGTCCTAGCTACGAGGGAGGCTGAAGCAGGATGATCGCTTGGGCCATAAATACATACGTTTAAGTTTTTTTGAGGTACAGTTGACATATATAATAAGCTGTGCATATTTAAAGTGTACAATTTGACAAACTGTGATCTATGTATACACTATGTGTGCTTTTTTTTATTTTCAAAGGTCAGAGAATAAATAGCTCATGTACAATGGGGCATTCCTGGGCTGTGTTAACCTCCGTTTTTATCTGTTTTAGGCCAGAACACAAAGCGTGAATCCGGAAGAAAAGTTCAATCTGGAAACATCAATGCTGCCAAGGTAGCATACCTTTTGAGTGTTTATTTAGTTTGCCTTTAGCTGTCTTTCCTGTTATATTCATATTTGGTCATAGCTGTGTTTCCCATGCATGTAGACTTTAGAATGTGAAATTAGGCAGAGGAAAAAGTTGACTTCTCTTCTTTCAGGACATCTCCCTGATGGTGGTAGGAGGAGGGAAGCCCTACCTCTCTGAAGACTAATAATCTCATATTAACCCCCACATAATTCTATTGCTATATATTGTTTTATAATATTCTATTTGTGTTTGTCTTTCGTATGCGACTGAGATACATATCTACCTGAAAGCATTCTCAAGCTGGGGACAAAAAATAGGAGCTAGCCACATAGCATGCTGCATCTAAAGTGGTTGCCAACCCTACTTTAGCGGGTCATTGTTAAAACACTGGCTCTGCATGTTGCTCATGCCCTTTTCCCCTGACACTCCAGCATACACCGTTCTGATTTATGCTTACATGTTTTATGTTTCCTTTCTGTTAGACTATTGCAGATATCATCCGAACATGTTTGGGACCCAAGTCCATGATGAAGGTAGGCTTATCTCTTGTTAAAACTCTTAGACTACAGATTTTTCCTTTCTGTTATCTAGGTCACTTAAATATAACTTTTGCTTTTGTCTTAGATGCTTTTGGACCCAATGGGAGGCATCGTGATGACCAATGATGGCAATGCCATTCTTCGAGAGGTGTGATTTTCTTTTTTTTTTTTCATTCCCTGCCCCTGAGTAGTCGCCCGCTTTCTAACAGTTTTAAAAACACAAAAGACCCATTAAGGTATATGTAGACAGTGATTAGTTTCTAAGGGCTGCTGTAGCAAATTACCAAAAACTGATTGGCTTAAAACCATAGAAATATATTATCATATAGAATGAAGCTAGAAGTCTGAAATCAAGGTGTCAGCGGGGCCATTCTCCTCAAGGCTCTGGGGAAGAATCCTACTTTGCCTTTTCTAGCTTCTGATGGTTGCCACCAATCCTTGGCATAAACACAGTCGCTGCCTCATTCTTCATATGGCATTCTCCTGGTGTGTCTCTTACTGTGACGTGAATGCTTGGATTTGGGGCCCACCCTAATCCAGTATGACCTTATCTTGACTTGATTGCATCTGCAAAAGATCCTATTGCCAAATAAAGTCAAATTCACAGGTTTGGGGGGTTTGGACTTCAGCGTATCTTTTTGAAGGACACAATTCAACCACAGTGGTGCTTTGAGTAAATAAGCTAAAAGATACTGTTCTGTCTTCAAGAAGTTTTAATAGTTAAGTTTGTGTGATTCATTTTTTCCGAAAAGAAGGGGACATGGAAAGGTGGTTTACCTAAGATATTTTGGGTGCCATTTTTAATTTTTCAAAGTATGATAAAACAATAAAGGGAAGGGAAATAATGTGTGGAAGCAAGAAGCTCAAGAATTAAGGCCAAGCAAAATGAGTTAAGAGGTCTTTGAATAGTGTTTATTCATTGGTGATCATCTTTTTTTTTTTTTTTTTTTTTAAGATTCAAGTCCAGCATCCAGCAGCCAAGTCCATGATTGAAATTAGCCGGACCCAAGATGAAGAGGTTGGAGATGGGACCACATCAGTAATTATTCTTGGTAAGAGGAGAATGGAAGGTTGATAAGCAAAATATAAAATGTCTGCATCACATTTTGAGAAGGAAATTCTGTTACCAATCTAGTAATTACAAATATTTAAATAGTTTATTAGTAATTTTTTATATATTCTAATTGGGCATAAAACATTTATGTAAATAGAATGGCCTGGTATATGTATAGGATCATATGTGTAGGATGACTGTGCAACTCTGGTTCAGTAAATACAGTTGATTATTTTTATTCACTATAAGTTATATTTTATAGCGTCACCACAAATACTGAATTGGTAAATACTAAACCATTGCTTCTAGGGTAAATACAGGGTTAGGTTCCTGCAAGCCTATGGTCACAAATTTTCATCAACCAATAAATACATACGTTGTATGTATTTTTCTGTTTTAAAGACTTCTATTTAATATATGTAGTTGTTTCATTAACATTGAACACATAGCCAATAGCAACGTAACTCATGTCTGAACGAAGCTCACTTAATGTGTTTTCTCTGTAGGGCACATGGCAGCCTTTTTACACTTAGGAATACTGCTTAAGCACAGCACATAAGCACTACACTTGGGAGCCATCTTAAATACTGAAATCTCCAACAAAAAGCACAAAAATGTGAAAAACAGCCTTAAATATACTACATAAAGGACCCTTGTTTACAGTGTGAGAGCTGAAACGGCCAAATTTGACCT